CCACAACAAGATAAAGGTAAATAATCCAATAGAAAAATGGGCACAGGATATGAACAGGCACTTCACCAAAGACGACATTCAGATGGCTAGCAAACACATGAAGAAATGCTCAAAATCCCTAGCCCTAAGAGAGATGCAAATTAAAACAACTATGAGATATCATTTCACCCCAGTCAAAATAGCAAAATTTAACAGAACAGCAAGCAACAAATGCTGGCGAGGTTGTGGAGAAACTGGAACCCTGATTCACTGTTGGTGGGAGTGGAAAATGGTGCAACCCCTGTGGAAAGCAGTATGGTGCTTTCTCAAAAAGTTGCAAATAGAGATACCATTTGACCCAGCAATTCCACTACTGGGAATATACCCTGAAGAGACCATAGCTGACATCCAAGCAGATATATGCACACCCATGTTTATTGCAGCTTTGTTCACAATAGCAAGGAGTTGGAAACAACCTAAGTGCCCATCAACAAACGAATGGCTAGAGAAGCTGTGGTATATTCGCACAATGGAATACTATGCTGCATTCAAAAACAAGGAACTCATGCAATATTATTCAAAATGGTTGACTCTGGAGAACATTATGCTGAGTGAAATATCCCAGTCACAAAAGGACAAATATTACATGATGCCACTGTTGGGGAGAGACTGAGTAAGATGGGTTCAATAATGTATACTGCATTGAAACAGAGGAGGGAGAAAACTGTTTAAAAGAGATATATAACTAGGTATTTCTGTCATCACAGGAGACTAGAGCGAGGGCTACATGGTGGAGGGGACCTGGGGGAGGGTTTGTAAAACAATGAAAGAATCTTTTCTTTTACTTTTCCATAATTTTTTGACTCATGTACTTATAACTTGTTAGTCAAATTTGAGCCTTCTAGGTTGCAACACCCCCATGATACATCTTCAAGGATATGAACATGTACGGCCAAGCACAATCAATAAGAGTGCATCTAAATCCCAAAATCAATCTCCATAATAGTCTATGTGTTTCCTACTGCCAAAGGGGCCCTTTAGAGTAGTGAGAGAAGATCTTCACCCTGAAACCCACAGCGTCCCTTTTCAGCAGGAAGTAGCTAAGAGAATATGCCATCCCCTTTTCCTTATGACTCAGGGTGAAGTCTCTCTCAGGGAGGAGTGATAGGGAATGGCAAAGGACACACTGACAAAGAAGATTAATCAGAACTGGCTTTGACAAGCACTGTGGCATTTGGACAAGAACAAACTGGGAGGAGGGTAGAGAGAATAGTGCAACAAGGAATGAATGGAAACCCAAAATCTCTGTAAATGTTTATGAAAATTAATAAAATATAGAAAAAAAAAAAAAAGAAAAACATGTTTGAAAAATGTTGTGGAAAACTAGGCTCGGATTGGCCTGAGTTTGAAAATCATATGCTCTCTTATGGTGGGAAAGAAAAACAGTGTCTTATTTATTTTCAAAAAGAAGATGTCATAATCAATCCTGAAGTATAATGTTCTTAGTGATAGGACAATATCCACACATCTACAGGGAACACTAACTAGTTCATTCAATTATCATTCAAATTTAGATTGCTGTTGTTATGTGCTAGCAATCAGGTTCCAACTCATCATTCATTCACTGCTTTTGTGTTGGAAATGACTCTTAAGTGACATTCTAGTGGGGCTTTAGAGGCTGAAAATTGCATGGGAGGCAGCTGTCTTTCTACAATTGAGCAGCTGGTGGATTAAACCACTTCTGCCTTTGGTTTGGCAGCTAATTCCTTATCCATTACACCACCAGTGTTCTTACGTTTACATACCAACTACTTATATCAAAGTTGAAGAAACTAAAGACTTTTTAAATTAACTCCTGCAGTCTGAAAGTAAAAACAGAAACAAAGGAGTCTATGCAGTGGTAAAATGTGGCCTTAATGATAAAGAAATTATTCCAGAGAGCATAAACATTTAAGATAATATTTTTTTATTAAAAAATCTTTTTTTTTCAGTAACATAAGCGATGACAAACCAAATGAAGTTTACCAGATGAAAAACAAAGGATTCAAATTAACATGTATGTGGAAAGAAATGACAGAGTTTTCACCAGTCAGAATAAGGTTCGGGGCTGATTGTGAAATGCTCAGATGCAAGTTCAAGTTGAAGAAAATGAAAACAAATCCACAAGAGCCAAATCATAATTTTGAATATATGCTATTAGAATTTAGAGACAACCATAACAACAGATTAGATACTAATGAGTATAGACTCGACAAGCTGTGAGAAAAAATAGAGAATATTAAATAGGAAGAAAACAAAATGTCATTAAAAAGGGGGGGGGGGAAGAGACCAAACCAGGCCTCAAAAAGGGATAGAAACATGCTTCTGAACACAGAAAAGTTACTGTATATGGAATAATGAAGTAAAGAAGGGAACACACTTCAAAAACCAGCTCAAGTAAAGTACTATAACAAACTGCATAAAGAACTAGAGTTAGAATATAAAAAGAGAACACATTTGGCATTTTCCAAGCTAACAGAAATGACAAATACTTTAATTTTCAAGTTGCAGTAATGATGGAGTCGCTGGGGAAAATATTGAATCATGCAAAATGCTCAAAAGAAATGGAAGGAATACTACAACCAGAAGATAAAATAGATAAATGGGACCTTCTAAGAGTCAAATCCCTATGCACATCCAAAAACTTCTCCAACAGGATAAAAAGGGAAGCCACAAACTGGGAAAAAGTATTTGGTAATGACATATCAGATAAGTGACTTATATCCAAAATTTATAAAAATACATGAGCAAAACAACAAGATAAAGGTAAATAGTCCAAATGAAAAATGGGCACAGGATATAAACAGACACTTCACCAAAGAAGACATTCAGATGGCTAACAAGCACATGAAGAAATGTTCAAAATCTCTAAGAGAGAAGTAAATCAAAACAACTATGAGATATCATCTCACCCCAGTCAGAATAGCAAAATTTAACAGAAAAGCAAGCAACAAATGCTGGCGAGGATGTGGAGAAATTGGAACCCTTTTTCACCGTTGGTGGAAGTATAAAATGGTTAAACCACTATGGAAGGTTGAATGGCTTTCTCCAAAAGTTGCAAATACAGATACCATTTGACCCAGCAATTCCACTACTGGGAATATACCCCAGAGAGATCATAACAGCCACCCAAGCAGATATATGCACATCCATGTTTATCGCAGCTTTGTTCACAATAGCAAGGAGTTGGAAACAACCTAAGTGCCCATCAACAAACAAATGGATAGAGGAGTTGTGGTATAGTCACACAATGGAATACTACACTGCATTGAAAAATAAAGAACTCATGCAATATTATTCAAAATGGATGACCCTGGAGGACATTATGCTGAGTGAAGTATCTCAGTCAAAAAAGGACAAATACTGCATGGTGCCACTGTTGTAAAACAGGACTGACATCAGGGAGACTGAGAAAGATGGATTTAATAATATAAACTGCATTGAAACAGAAGAGGGAGAAAACTGTTTAAAAGGGATATGTGATTAGGTATTTTTGTCATGATGGGAAGTCCAGAGCAAAGGCTGCATAGTGGAGTGGACCTGGGTGGAGGGACTGTAAAACAATGAAAGAATTTTTCTTTTACTCTTCCAAGAGGGTAGTGTATTGGGGGAGGGGGCGGAGGGTGAGGAGAAAAGTGCAACAATGAATGAATGGAAATCCAAAGTCTCTGTAAATTTTCATTGAAATTAATAATAATAATAAAAATAAAAAATAAACAAAAAGGGAAAAAAGAAGAAAAAGGAAAAACAAATGGAAGGAATACAGATTTTCCCCCTATAAAAATAATTACTTAACATTCAACCCTTTTAGGAAACAGTATATGATCAAGAATCAAGTCAAAGTACTGAAAGAAGATGTCTACACTGCATTGAAGGTGTTAGAAAAAAAGCAAAATTCTGGAACTGATGGAATAACATCTAAGATTTCTACAAACGGATGCAATGCTAGAAGTGTTCATTTACATATACAAAGATATCTGCAGGATAGGTACTTACTAGAGTAGCCAGCTGGTAGAGCTGAGTCTACTTCAAAGAAAGGTGATCTAACAGAATGCAGTAATTGTAATGTCATATGTTGGATAATAACTAAAAACACAGCAGCAGCATTGTAGAGAAAGGAAAGTGTCAGAAATTGAAACTGGATTCAAGAGAACACAGAGTGAGCATATATTATCTTTGATGTCAAATGTAGCAGAGGGCCAGCAAAACAGAAGATGATCATCAATAGCATGGATCAACACAGTATTTACAACAGTGGATTCAATTCAGGAAAGACTGTAAGACTGGCTGGCACAGGACTGGGCAGTGATTTGTTCTGTTTTATACTATATGCTGGGAGGAGCTGGAACTGAGAGGGCCTTAAACAAACATAACAGAAATAAATACATGTGTTTGACCCAATATATACTTAATATATGTATACAGGATAGAAACCATAATACTGTGCGGTACTTTGATTTTTCTATCTTTTCTTTATTATGGGCAAAAAGTAAGAGTGTAAAAGAAGGCTAGTTTGAAATCTATTTTGAAAATACCTCCTATATTGCACAGTAGTTAAAATGTGAGACATGAAAATAGAGCATTTGGTTTTAAATCTTAGCATTAAGATGATGTTAACTTGGACAAACTACTTAGTCTGTTTCATTTTTATTTATAAAATCAGAGAAACTATTTATCCTACAAGGTTCTTTAGAAGGTATGAAATGAGCTTATTAATGAATAGCCCTTCAGATATTGTCTGAGATATAGTAAATGCTCACTTAATGTAAATTATTTTCTTATTGTATGAACCCAAATAAAAAGTAAAAATTTAAGAACATAGATTCAGCACATGAGGTAGTTTTAAAAAGTGAGCTAAAATCATATATAACAAAACACTCTGAAAGCACACTAGGAAGGGGTATGTTGACATTATTATCTATAAGAATTTTAAAAAATAAAAATGCATTTATCTTTTAACAATAGCTTCAAGCACTGCTTACCTATAATGTCATTTCTCATTGCTTCTGTAATTGGTATTGGCTTAGCAGCATCTGGTGAGATATATTTAGTAAAAGTATTCACTGCATCTTGTTCAATACCTGCAGGGAAGAAGACAATTACTTAAGAAAAATCATAGCTCTGACACTAAAAGTATGAGTAGCAAAATAAAATCAATGAATTTCATGTTAAGGGGAAACTTCTGTGTCCCCAAAATCTTTATAAACAAAGTCAAGCAATAACCTACAAAATTGGAGAAAAAAATTTTGGGAATCATTTATCTGTTAGGTGTTGAAGATGTAAAATATATAAAGAACTGCTAGGAATTAACAAAAAAGCAAACAACTCAATTAAAAATGAAAAGAAAACTTAGCAGCTATTGCATTAGAACTGCCAACCTTCTGGTAAGAAGCTGAACATTTCATTATTGAAACACCAGAGCTGTAATCAGTAATTATAGCCATATAACCCATCACCATCAAAGTAACAGATTAATAATAACCCTGTGGGACAGAGCGGAACTATTCTACAGGGTTTACAAGAAGAAATCTGGAGAACCACCACTTGGCCAACTGACTGGAGATCTATATTTGTTTCCATTCCAAAGAAGTGTGACCCAAGAGAACGTCGAAACTATAGAACGATAGAATATGCAAGCAAGATTCTACTGAAGATTATCCAAAAACGACTGGAACAGTAGATCAGCAGAGAACTGCCAGAAGCCCAGGCTGGGTATAGAAGGGGTCATGGTACTAGGGATATTATAGCTGGTGTTAGATGGATCTTAACTGAAAGCAGGGACTACCAGAAGAATGTCTATCTGTGTTTCATTGATTATGCAAAGGC